TTCAAGGGTTTGTAAAAAGTATAAAAAAAGTAAAATATAAAAATTGCAATATTATTTTTATTTTACTGATAAAACTTCCTTAATAATGTTTCAAAATCAATTTACACACATTTTATCAAATAATTACGTTATTTGATTGCAAGTCATAAAAAAATATTAATATTTTGTCCTTTCAACGAAATGACTTTAGCTATTCGATCTGGCATACCTTAATTACAGTTTATTGCTGCTGTCTATTTTTTTCATTGTGGTGCCAATGATAAAGTAATTTTTCAATCAAATTCCTTTTGCTTGTTGAAATTTCAGAAGAGATTTCCTTCTTGAGAATGTTGAGAAATTATCAATCGGATTCATGTCAGGAGAGTTTCTTGGCCAGTCTAAAACAGGGGTACTTTTTGTTTTAAGAAATTTTGTGATGCTTTTAGGTTTATAATATGTATATATATATATATATATATATATATATATATATATATATATATATATATATATATATATATATATATATATATATATATATATATATATAGGAAGACAATATGTAATCTTCCTGTGCCTTGACCGCTGATAACTAACCACACCATAACTTTAGTTGGATGTTTAATAGTTTGTACAATTCAATCTGAATGATATTTTTTGTTTACTTTGTCCAATAAGATCACAAAAGTTGATTCGTCTGAAAAACACACCTAAAAAAATTATCACAGTGTGGTTGTAATTAAGTTTATGTCAACATTTAAACACTTTTTTAACAATATTTTATTCAAAATTGATAAACATGTTCCCAATCTATAACAGTCATATACTTAAGATTTTTTGCCCATTGCAATCTCTTTTTTTATCATTGCTGGAGTTAGCTTTGGTTTTTTAGCCGGTTTGTGAGATTTTAAACCAACTTCAGCCAGTCGTCTCCTCACTGTGCGCTCCGAAACTTATATTCCTGGCTCTTGAACAAGTTTTGTCAGAAAGATGGATGACTTTTTCTATTTTCAAAATATCTTTTATGATTCTGTTTGTCCTAGGAGTGGTTTTACATTTTGACCCACTCTGTCCTTTTTTTTTGGGAGAAAGAGTGATATCATTTTCCATTTTGTGTTTGATTTTATTGAATTTCAATTACAACCTATCACACTAAAAATATTAATAAAATTGTTCTGTATATTATTTCCTGCTATTTATAGTAACTTTATAAAATATATTAAAAATAATAAACCACTTTTCACTAAAAAAAATTGTATAAATATTAAAAAAATGTATGTGACAGAACAACCACGTTCTTTTTAAAATTGACGAAAATTCAAATTACTGACTTAAAACACACCTAACTTCACATTGATTATAAAGAAATTTTTCCATTCTTTTCTATTTTGTTCAAATTCTTTTCTATTTTGTTCAATAGTTAATGTTAATAAAATGGTACTATATATTTTTCTCTTTTTCCAAATTTAAATCAGGATTTGTTTTTAATTCATATTTAGTATTTATTTCTAATTCAATTCATTGTTTTTTTACACCTAATTGAAAGAGTGTCTGTATTCTTTTTCTTTCAATGTATATGTTTCTTTTTCTCTTTCTTTTTTGTGAACCTGATTTATGCATGTGGATATTTAAAAAAACAATTCAAAATTTAATATTGCGTATTAAATTGATAAATCATTGTTAATAACATTATCTAAAATCCAAGATGTTATAGAAATATATAAACTAAAGAAAACAAGTAAATATTTATATTTATTTCATTCATTTTCAGGGATTATCTTTTTCCGTATATTTCCGGAATTCCGGATATTTTTTTTAACTTTTAGTTTTTGCGGATATCCAAAACATTTTCAATACATGCAAGTTGAGGTTATATTTTTGTAATAAATTTGTTTTTTAAGCTTTTTCACTCATCACTCATAAAAAAATTATGAAAAGTGTCGAAAAAAATTAAAAACAACTTAGCTAAATATGAAATTAAAAAGAAAATAAGGAAAAACAAATTCCGGATTTTTTCCGGATATTTTTTTCAGACAATTTTCCCGATTTTCAAAATATGACTAGGATGGTGTATGCATTTTACATTCCCATATTTGATAAATTTTTTTTTTAATTTAATACGATTTAGTGTTGCTTTAGCGAGTTAGCATTGCATAAGCAAAGACTATTAATGAAAAGTTTTACAATTGCGGTCTAATGTATTTCTTTATATTAGTAACTTACCACTACATTGCATTTATAAAACCAAAATATTCAGTTGTAAAAAATTTACGTTAAAAGACGGTATATGTGTATATATATATATATATATATATATATATATATATATATATATATATATATATATATATATATATATATATATATATATATATATATATATATATATATATATATATATATATTGTTCATGGGCACCTAAACTCTTATGGGCCCTGGTGTGGTGCACTGGCTGTACCCTCCTCTCATGCTTGCAGAAAATTGTGATGAGTGAAGCCTGGAAACAAAAAAGCATATATATATATATATATATATATATATATATATATATATATATATATATATATGTAGTACTTTATAAGTAGTAATTTCCATTATTAGTGAGATTATAGAAATTACTTCTTACTGGTATTACGTAAGCATCAAGCCACACTTAAATCATGTAACAGATCGAAATCATTTTTACTTTTTATAACTAACTCGCAAATCAGGAGGAATGCTGTAATTAAGAATTTTTTTAGTTACAAAGAGAATCTGTAATGAGTTCAGCCCATTCAATGCTTATGCAATAAATTTTAATTATGCCTCATTAATTTTCAACAACTACAGTGGTTTTGATTTATATCTGCAGGGATAATCAAAGAAAAGTGACTTTTATTCTTGTTAATGACTTAATAAAGTTGTAATGCTCCCCCCCCCCTCTTTTTTTATTTTATTTTTAGAAATACTAATTTTTTAAATCAACACCAATTAAAGCTGTCCTTATTTCTCGAAGAACTCTCCATAAAGAAGTGACACAGACGTTCCTGCAGCAAACTTGTAAATATATAAATTCCAAAAAAAAGTATTTCTATTTTTTCATGAAGTTTTTGGTACATAATTATCTTATTTTTTATTGGTATAGAAAAACCTGTGCTTTCTTTCTGTAACTTGCATGTTTTTCTATTTAGTGATTTTTGCAATCAAATACTTTCATTAATGTCCATTCATTAATTTCATTAATTTCTTTTCATTAATTTTCTTTTCTATGAATAACTGCTGCAAAGGAAAGACTTTGCTCTAAAAAAACATTAATTAAACATATTAAAAGATACAACAAAGTATTTTAGGACATATTCATCTTTAACATCTTTATTTTTATTTGTATAACACTTGAGGAGTTGGTGCCTCTGATTGAACAGACACAATTGCTTCACAGAATGATTTTTTTATACTTCTAAAGCTTTTACATGATTAGTTATGTCAGCTGTCTGTTCAACAACAAGATTCATCTTGGTTTCAATATTTCATCGGTGTAAAAGGTCTCTTTATCAAAATACCGAAATTGACGAATAGTACTGTTCGCTAGACGAATAGTACTATTCGCTTGACGAAGAGTACTGTTCGCTTGACGAAGAGTACTGTTCGCTTGACGAAGAGTACTGTTAGCTTGACGAAGAGTACTGCTCGCTTGACGAAGAGTACTGTTCGCTTGACGAAGAATACTGTTCGCTTGACGAAGAGTACTGTTCGCTTGACGAAGAGTACTGTACGCTTAACGAATAGTACTGTTCTCTTAACTAATAGTTAAGCGAAAAATTGTTCGTTGAGCGAATAATATTCGCTTAAAAAATAGTACTATTCGTTTAATGAGGTGACGGGAATAGTTTCGAAAAATGAACTTCAGAATAGTGTCGAATATATTAAAAATGCCTAATGCAAATAGTAAAAACGGAATAGTATCGCAAAAAAGTTAATTTCAGCAATTGCTTAATCGTTTTGCTTATCTTTAAAGCATACGGCTTATACAGAAAAAAAAGAAAAAAACAAAGAATAATGAAAGAAAAATGTGGCAGCACTCCTTTGCGGCAGCACACTATGAGATAGTTGGTGTATGTATTGAAGCCCCCGGCAGCAGGCTATTTCAGTATGTCATCAGACATTTTATCTAAGCACACATTTATAGTTATTATTATTTTTTTATTTTTGTTACTATTCATTAAGCTCCTTTAGGACATTATTCCTTTTTTTCTATTTTCGACACTATTCATTAAATTCATTTGTGACACTCTTCCTGCTTTTTGTTTTCGACATTCATTTAAGTGCTTTGCGACATTATTCCTTTTTTCATTTTCGACTTTATTCATTAAATTAATTTGCAGCATTATTCTTTATTCTGTTATTCGACAATCAATAATGTGACAATTTGCGACACCATTCCTTTTTTACTTTTTGACGATCAAATTACTTTTTGCGACAATCAAAATTTGCTACAATCAAAATTTTGCGACAATATCCCGCCGCAACGTTTAATGAAAACTCTATTTGCCGGTGCTAAAGCTTACCTTACAAGGAACATTCGCAAAAAATTAATTTTTGAATTTTTCTTAGACAAATTTTTTTTTCTTCAAAAATTAATCTCTTTTAAAGTTTTAGAGCCTTTCAAAAGCACCTAAGAAAACCATGTGCAGTTGATAATTTTAAGAGAGTTTAATGCTCAAAGTTAGACATAAATTCAAAGTTTTATAGTTTAGAACATGGTTTCTAAACAGCCAAACTATGCGTCAATTTTTATCGTTTTGTTTCCTAAAATAAATACAATTTGAAAGGATCACCTTCGGACTTCTTCTAAAATTCAATCTTGAATTTTTTACACGATTTTTTGAATAATGTTTATGTAGCCATGCATAATCTTTATTACTTTTTAGAAAATATAAAGTAAAAAAAAACACTTATTTAAACGCACGTTTTTTTCATATATATTATATTTGTTTCATTAATTTTATTTTATTTGATATTAAATAAATAATTATATTCGTTAGATAAACAAAAAACGAAACTAAAATTGAAAGAGTCAGATACAACACAACACACAACAGCAAAAGATGACACAAAGTATTTAAAAAAAGATAGTAAAAGATCAATTACACCTATTTGGAAATGAGCCGATTTGATAAATTTGGAATAAAAAGAACAATTAACTTAAAGAAAAGTGTTGACCTTGTATTTTTATCGATTAAGTTTTGTATTGGAATGCTCTCTTTTTAATGTATATATAATATAATTAGTCTTTCGAATTCCTTTCGAATGTTGTATATTATAATTAAAAGTTTTTTTCATTTTTAATTACTAAAATCAAATTATTTATAACTATTTAAATTCAATGAAATAAATTTTTACTATTTTATTATTTATAAATTGTTGTTTTGATACCCCTATATAAAGAAGCAATAGGAGGAATATAAAACGCTGTTTCTTAAAGTATTTTCATAATTCATAAGAACGTCTAACAAAAAATGTATTTTTGAAGTATGTATATGTATGTGCAAAGGATTGTATTTATACAAAGGGTTTGTTTTGTATTTGTAAATGATTTCAGCAAGTGATTATTCAGATCGGTAGTCTAAATTTTGTAGACTTGTATGAGGTTTTGAAGATTTGTATGAGGTTTTATAGACTTGTATGAGGTTTAGTAGACTTGTATGAGGTTTTCAAGACTTGTATGAGGTTTTGTAGACTTGTATGAGGTTTTGAAGACTTGTATGAGGTTTTGAGGAAATTGTTATTAGCATTATATCTTAAAGACAACAAATTTCTCTTTATTTTTTAGACAATTTACTTATAGTCTGTAATTTTCTACTAAAAAGTTGGCTCGATTAAACTCATTGAAATTTGAATATTTTATTTAAAAAAAAAAAAGTTAAATATTAAAAAAAAAAAAAAAAATGTTTTGTGATAGATTCATGTGGAATTTTTTTTCCTAATAAGATTTTTTAGCAAAAATAAAATCTTTGGTTTGACAGCCATTAAATTAATACGAATGAGTGCAAAAATGTTCTGCGATTATTTTTTGCTTCTCCAAATTACTATCGAAACTTTGATTTCTATACAAATTGTTAACTAAAAGGTTCAATTTTTTTATTATCTTAGAAGTTCATTGGACGTCATTTCTTGAAAGAAATCTAAAATATAATTATTATGTGAATATAATTAATTTAAACTTTACAAAAAACTCGTTTACTAAAGGTGTCTCAGAAAACTTATTTGATTTTTATTTTTATAAAACTAGACTACGTTGAAAAGCTTTTTTTTTATAAAATGGGAGACCAGGGTTAGTTGGAACATATTTTTTTATTTGTTAACTTGTGGCCAAAATACAAAAAAAATTGTAAAATTTTTTTTATTGCCTTAATACTTCTTACTAAAGTACACAATATTTTCTAATAATGATTAAATTTAGTTATGTAATTTTTAATATATCTTTGATTAGAGAGCTGTAAAAAAAATTCCAACAAACCCCGCCATTAGGGCTAGTTGGAACAGACAATGGGGTTAGTTGAAACATAATATGAAAGTTTAAAATACGACATGTTTAATAATAAAAAATGCACTTTAACATAACACAAGTATACTACATATATATATATATATATATATATATATATATATATATATATATATATATATATATATATATATATATATATATATATATATATATACTTCTAGTTATCACTTTCGGTTCAATTAACAGAATATTCGGGCTGTCCAAATGATGGATAATTGTAGATGATTGTATCTCTTCTTTTTATTGACTTTTATTTTATGTTTATCTATGGACCTTGTGCCTATTTATAAGTACATTATGTTTGAATTAAATACATTAACAATAATAATAATTAATAATAACAATAATATATTTATTTATTTATTTTTGTAAGTATTATATATTAAAGAACATGCTGCTGTCAACAACAAGCGGTAGCAAGATTTAAATAAATGAAAACACATGCATAATAATAAGATCCTTGATTTAAACTCTAATTTCGTATGTTAGTATGGATAATTATAAAATAACAAATATAATCTATGAGCGATTAGAGAAGGAACATAATTGATGCTTTAAAACAAAAACGCTCCAACAAACCCCAATCAAAACGTTGCAACAAACCCCTTTTTGACCAGTACATTCTTAAACTATTTAATAAAGGTCCGCAAAACCCTATAATCCACAAAAAGCACATTAAAAGAAAGCTCATAAAAAATACTACATAGATGTTTTCAAACTATTTTATTATCTTTTATAATACAAGATTACAATTAATAATACAAAAATCACAAAAAGTTACTTTTATGTACACATTTCTCTAAAATCTTTGAACTTAATTTTCGCAATTTTAACTTAATTTTAAATTTTATTTTAACCAACAACAAAATAGTATGTATTTTAATTCTTGAAACTTTTTGTTTTTTGTTTGTAATAATAAACTGCTCGTTATTTGGCTCAAAAATTCAATGTTTCAACTAAGCCCGTGTTCCAACAAACCTCGGTATCCCCTAAAACTAGTAATAACAAATTAGAAGTTCATTTTTTAACTTCATAAATTTTATAACAATTTTAATTGTCGGTTTTTTTTTTTGTTCTTAGTCCTAAAATTTCCGAATAGGGGAAATAAATAATAGTTAGAAAACCCCGCAACCCAAGACGTTTTGACAACATTTACGTAAACTTAAAGAATTTTAGCTGTTGGTCTCGATGTTTTTTAACTTGAATGATAAAAGCTAATATGTGCGTGAACTTTAAGTGTAATGAAATACCAAAAAATACATAATCTCTATGAGGAAATCGAATAATATGTATGCCTTATTGCATTGAATATTTTAAATTAAGCAATAGATTATCATTTTAATAACTTAATTGTTTTCTTCAATATCTTCTTGATTGTCTACATCTTTAGCTTCAGCAATGATGTTGAAAAAAAAATTTACATTTAAATGTAGATTTTTAGAACGAAAATTAAGTTGATGTGACAAAGTATTTGAATCAATAGATGGCAACAAACAACGAACAACAAAAATAATTAGATCTAATTATCAGAAAATTTTTAGTGTTTATTCAAAACTTGTTTAAGCACTCCAAAAACCATGTCTTATCGTAATACGACCGCGGAATAGTATTTAGTGAAAATATTTTTATTAAATTATTCCGCGGTCTTATCACGATAAGACATGGTTTTTGGAGTGCTTAAACAAGTTTTGAATAAACACTAAAAATTTTCTAATAATTGGATCTAATTATTTTGTTTTTCGTTGTTTGTTGCCATCTATTGATTCAAACACTTTGTCACACCAACTTAATTTTCGAGCCAAATTTAATTCAATTTATTTACAATATGCCCAAGTTTGAACAAAAGTGTCTGCTTTGTGTGCGTGTTTTAAAGAATAGCCTTTATTTTGAAAATATTTAAATATTTTTTCTGTTATTGGTAATTAAATTAAAAAAAAAAACAAAAAAACAACAGAAAACAAATTGTAATGGTTAAAGTTATTTTTTATAGGTTAAATTTCACTTACAAACGAAACAAAAAAGATTAAAAGTTTTTCTTCGCAGAGCCTTAAGTTAAATAAAAAATCAAAATAGTTTATTAAGTTTAATGAAAATCACGTAAAAGAGCTCTACCTTTTTTTTTAACTAAACTTAGCGTTGCGTAGTTAATGTTATCTCTTAAGGTAAAATAATTTTTTGTAAAATCACCAATTTATGTAATGAATTTTGAATATACAGATTTGATGACACTCTGTGGTAATTATGGTGATAACTAATCTAATTTTGCTTTGAAGCAGTTGAAATTGGTAGCACTGACAACTTCGTTTTATCAAACACTCTCAGTGAACAACGCGATTGTTGAAGAAGTTGAAACGAACGAGGCAATTGTTGTTTATTTTACTATTAATGAGTCAATTTTATTCTCAATTTTTTTTTTTAAGATGAGCTCGCCGCGTAAATGACTACCAACTGTTGAGGTGATGTTGAGATTAGTACGTCTTGTCTCGTAATATGAAGCTTTATTTCGTGCGATACTTTGGTAGCTGAATTCTAGATGCGTTTTGTAGCATTTAATTCTTTTTTTAGGTGCGAGCACCAGGCGGTAACTGCAAACTTGTAGTTTAAGAGTATATAGTTGGTGAAAATTTTTTTTATATTTTCATATTTATTATATATATTAGTGTCTCTGCTAATGAAAGTGTTTTAAATTTCTAAAGGCTTTATTGTCCTTGGCAATAGCGATTTTTTGCGTGATCCAAACCTCCAACAACTTAAAGCACTAGGTTTTAAGTTGTCGGATGTTTAAACGTCTTTTTTGGATGTTTTCAACTCAAGTTCTGTTCAAGTGACTTTGTTGTTAGCATCGTGCTCGTTTATTGAGTAAACTTTTATTAGGTAAACATTTTTGCTGATGTGCATAACCTTGCGTTTTTTTTCCGGTGAGCTCCATCAACCGGTTCGGGTCAAAGTAATTATGTTATCCATATTGACTTGCAGACAAGATTCGTCTTTAGCAATTTTAAAGATACTCTCTGCTTTAGTTTCGGTTGCGTTCATTTCACAGATGCTTCACTATTGATATGTTTAGTTAAGTTGCTAATAAACATTATGAACAGCGTGGGACCTAGCACTTAACCTTGTTCACACAACTGATAATTTATTTCCAGTTGAATGAAATATATTCGAGAAGAACGCGTTGTGATCTTAATTAAGATAAGTATTAATTCAGATAAGAATGTTTCAGATAAGAATCCTTTAACGCTTAGGATTCAAGTTTGTGCAGTTTTTGTGAGCAACTTTGTCAAAAGCGCAGGTAAAATTAAAAGCGCATCTACGTTTTTAAGTAAATCTTGAACCTTGAGCAGATTTGCGAGGTTTTTTTTACTGATGCCGTTTTATCAAAAACTCAAACTAAAACTTCCTAGTTTTTTTAGTTTTTAGTTTTTTTTCTATTTAAACAACTTATTAACTTATCTCTGAATGAATCTAACTTATCTTGAATTTTCTTTAAATTATCTAAACAACTTACCTTTTTTTAGGTGTGATTATTTTTTTATTTTTAAGATTATCTGTTGATTATAGATTAGTAACTGATCTTAACATACTTGTAAATATTTGTATATAACTTTTAAATGGTACAAAGTAATTGTATGTTTACCTTTTAGTATGTTTTTTTTAAATTACTTGTACACCCTTGCTGATGAAAC